CTATATATATATATATATATATATATATATATATACACATTTTTCCGAAATATTTATTCATTACTTCTAGATCCAGGACTTATTGGTTACAGGATCCATACTAATACGTAGCACAAAACACTTTAAACATTCTCTCAATATTAAAGTTTTTGGCCACAGGAAAAGATGATTTTTTTTATTGGAGATTTCAGCAGACTAGTTTCGGTAAAACAGTTACCATCATCGGCCGATATATCTAAAAGATTTGATCTTTCATTGTGTAAAAAAAAAAGTCGTTTGTGTTTTTGACTCTTGATATAGTAGCACACGGTACCTGAAAATAAATTAAAATCCAATCAATATTGCAATGAATTCCACTAATTTTCTACATATAAAATGGCCGATTTCGCTCCATTCTTTTCGTCAGTTTCTTTTACACTAACTTTGATACGTTACTACTATTAAACACAACTTGTATCCATTCAATCTAGATCGTTTCAGAACATTTTATTATAATTTATATATATACACGACAGAAATTAAACCAAGTTCCTTGTTTTTCTCACGTGTTATCCTTCAACCTTCTGATGTAGTGTGTGCTCTATTCCTCTTCTTTTTATCAAGAGCGTTGGTATCACGTAGGTAGTTTCAATTGTGTACAAAAGTTGACAAGTGATACAAAGAAGTAACTTTGTATATCTACCGCTTTTTTTGTGTTTGCGGGCGGATGAAACGGTTTGCGTGTATATAATACTTATTTCCAGCTTTCAGGGTTTTTTTTTCTTCTGATTCACGAATAATCCCACGTGTCTGTGCAGGCGTTTCTACAGACATGGTGGATTTAATATAGCATTAAGAATCTCTTGTCTAGATGGTCAGTATACATCTCAAGCACTATATAGGTAAGTGTGTGTCCAATAAACCGTAATTTACAAGTCTCTACCGTGACCAATAAACCGTAAATTACAAGTCTCTACCGCGACCAATAAACCGTAAATTACAAGTCTCTACCGCGACCAATAAACCGACAAATTACAAGTCTCTACCGTGACCAATAAACCGTAAATTACAAGTCTCTACCGTGACAAATAAACCGTAAATTACAAGTCTCTACCGTGACCAATAAACCGTAAATTACAAGTCTCTACCGTGACCAATAAACCGTAAATTACAAGTCTCTACCGTGACCAATAAACCGTAAATTACAAGTCTCTACCGTGACCAATAAACCGTAAATTACAAGTCTCTACCGTGACCAATAAACCGTAAATTACAAGTCTCTACCGTGACCAATAAACCGTCAAATTACAAGTCTCTACCGTGACCAATAAACCGCAAATTACAAGTCTCTACCGTGACCAATAAACCGCAAATTACAAGACTCTAACGCGACCAATAAACCGTAATTTACAAGTCTCTACCGTGACAAATAAACCGTAATTTACAAGTCTCTACTGCGAACACTATATTTTTGAATATTCTAAAGCGATTCAAGGTCAAAGTATGAAAGTCGCTGGATTGTTTCCCAAACAACCATGCTTTTCTCGTGATCAATGAGATGTAGTGGGATCACCTCAAAATCTTTATTTGTTGGTAGATGGAAAGCGAACTGTAAATGTTGTTTTTGAAGAAGCTTTGTTATAATTTAAATTGCTGTTAAATTTACATTGTTTTAATTAAGTTTAAACTTTCCCCATCAGTTGACCGGTATTTCAGCTCGTATATTCTATGGCCGTTCTTTTGCATATATTTCATAAAATAAAATGGAACAACTTTTCTGTGTTTCTTCTGGTCTCCTGAAGATGGTGGAACTATTAATGGAATTGATTGGAAGCAAGAAACTGTGAAGTCTAGGAAATTAAAAGGAAACTACTTACACGACAACAACCTGACAACAAGACTAGTTGTACTGACCTTGACGACAACCGCCTGACAACAAGACTAGTTGTACTGACCTACACGACAACCGCCTGACAACAAGACTAGTTGTACTGACCTACACGACAACCGCCTGACAACATGACAAGTTGTACTGACCTACACGACAACCGCCTGAGAACAAGACTAGTTGTACTGACCTACACGACAACCGCCTGACAACAAGACTAGTTGTACTGACCTACACGACAACCGCCTGAGAACAAGACTAGTTGTACTGACCTACACGACAACCGCCTGACAACATGACTAGTTGTACTGACCTACACGACAACCGCCTGAGAACAAGACTAGTTGTACTGACCTTGACGACAACCACCTGACAACAAGACTAGTTGTACTGACCTTGACGACAACCGCCTGACAACAATACTAGTTGTACTGACCTACACGACAACCGCCTGACAACAAGACTAGTGTGTATGCTTTGAGTTACTGTGTATATTACAAATTCTAGTTTTGTTGTCCTTATATTTAGGACATCCTTTATCATGAGCTCCGAGATTTGTTTTTGGCGGGAGAGTATTTGTGTAGGTGTAAAACAAACACTTTAAGTGAGGAACCATATTTTCTCTCGTTTTCATCCAGTTTTATAATGTCAATTCTGGAGAAGTATCTAATGATAATTCACAATTCAAACCGCGTGTTGTCACATTTTGGGCGGTTGGTAAAATCTTCTGGGTGGGGCTGGTGTTCTTGGAAATTGGATTATTGGTACCTCGTACGAATTAGGACACGTGATAGAATAATTGCTAAAGAAATATTGAAAAAAACATTTCTCAATTTCAGATAATTCAGAAGGTGAACGAACAAATTAATGTTGAACTAAATCATGATACTTAACTTTTTTTTTCACCCTTAGCTACTTACTTATCTAAGTTACTTGCTTACCTGGGAGAAACCAGATTCGTATTCAACTATATCTGGAAGCAGCTGGTGGTGGGCACGTGGGGAATAAACGGCTTCTTTAATGGATTTCCCTGCCCATAAGTTCAGGACACTAACCTGTAATGATGGAAAAATTGTTCTTTTTAATAAATCATCAAAATACAATCATTCTTTAATTATCAAAATCACAAACATGTTTCTATACAAGTAAGCCTTTAAGTTGTCTATCGTGGTGATTCTAGTAAACCATACGCTGTGTCCGTGTCTGTCTAGACACAACGTCACGGTGATCCAAGTACACCACGTGTCTGTCTAGACACATCGTCAGGGTGATCCCAGTACACCACGTGTCT